ACCAAAATGTAGCAGAATTGAATCGTTATAAAGCATTGAAATACATATTACCTGCATATGAAACATCAAGAACTTCCTGTATCATGCCCAAAAAGTTAATGCAAATATTAGAGCCATTTGTTTCTCTACATTTTTTTTCATAGACAGGATGTCATTATGTATACTAGCTGGCTTCAGACTTACTGAGATCTACCTGCCCCTGCTTCCCAAGTGTTCGAGTTTAAAGGCTAAGGCAAGAATGTTGGCTCAAATTGAAGGTCAGCCTGGATTATATAGTAAATTCTATGCCAGCCTGGGTTAGAGAGTGAGACCTTGTTTCAGAAAACAAATGAAGCTGGACATGTTGATGCTCACCTTTAGTACTAACACTAGGGAGGAAGAGGCAGGAGGATCTCTATGGGTTGGAGGCCAGCTTGGTCTACATAGTGAGTTCCACAACAGCCAGAGCTACATAGTGAGACCCTGCCTCAAAACAAAATAAAAAAACAAACAAAATTAAAAACAGAAACAATGTGATTCTAAATTGCCAAGAATGTTTATGACCTAGCCCAGGTACCCAGAATTCAACAGTCTACAGAGATCAGCAAATAGTCTTGCTTAAAGTGCCTTTAATCCAGCTGTTCAACACCTAGGAACTCCGAACTAAGGAGTTTCCTTTTTTTCTGCCCCATCAGTGCCAGGTGTGGTGGTGCATCTTGTAAGCCTAGCAACTGGGAGTAAAAGGCAGGAGGTTCAAAGACAAACAGTTACACAGCAAGTTCAAGGTTGGCTGGGGTATGAAACAAGCTCAGCTAGAAAGCAAGCTGAAAGACTGACTAAGCTACATAAGGCTCTATCTTTAAAAAATTTATCAGACAAAAAATCTCACTATTCATAGTGACCAAAGAATAGCAAAAGCAAAAATAAAAGTAAAAAAAGGTTAAATGCCCCAATAATAGGAAACCAATTAAATATCATTGTCTAGAATATAAATGTATCCATGCAAGTGAAAAAAAGAATATTCAATCTCATAGGAAAATGTCTATTATATAAAATGAGCATCCCTTAACCAAAATGACTGGAACAGAATATCTCTCTCTGATTTTGGAGTTCTTTAAATTTTGGACTTTGATGACTAAGAATCTCTAATACAGAAATTAAAAATCCAAATTGTCCCCAAATCCATATGCTCTAAAATCCAAAATATAGATGCTCAAAAGTTTCAGATTTCAGAGTTAATGGGTTTTCAATTAGAAATATTCAGCTATACTTACTTAAGTATACTAAAGAGCAAAAAAAAGGACATTAAATACTAAGCTGAAAAGATAAGTAGGCATGACAGACCTGGAATCATGTATCTGAAGGATGAGCAGGAATCTTTACATGGGGGGAGGGGATTAGGGTAATTTACATTTGTTTCTGTGGATATTTAAAAACTATTCTAACTACAAACCTTTTCCATTTCTGCAATGAGAACAAAACACCTACTTATTTTTAAATGTGAAAATTTTTAATTAGTTGAGCTGAAATAAATTCGTCTATCCTAACCAAATGTTACTATTAAAATTATTTAATTCATTCAAATAAAATAAAATTGAGAATTATTCCCCATCAATGGAATTATCAAAGATGTAAAGTCAGCTTTAAAGACTCAGTTTTCATAGCAAAACCATAAATACCAATATAAAATACCCCTCGCTGTTCTAACTTAGGAGCAAATTTTGTCTGCAGGCACAGAACAATTACATTGCATACTGAAGCAGCTAAAAGAACTTGTTAGGAAAGTCAAGAGAGCCCAGGACAAGAGTCCTCCTCAGAGCTGAGCAGGGTAACCTCTGTTCTCAGGTTCCCTAGCTGTAACACATGTATCACATTCATCTTGGTGTTTGGGCGGAGATTAAGTCTAGGAACTCATCTAACTGCTTGGGAGAGAACGGAAGACAGTAACTGCTTGTTATTGGTAGAGCCAGTGAATAGTGGGCTTGAAGAAGAGCTTGCCAAGCCTCTGGAAAGCTGTATGGTGTGGGCAAGTATCTTACATACTGTCTCAGCTTTGTCATCTGCAAAACACAGGAAACTCGTTGCAGGTTTGTGCTTAAGATTAAACAAAACTATATGAAAAAAAAAGCATCTCAGGGACAGTGAGTAACTATAGCCAACATTATCACAACCTACAACAATAAACATATAAGAATAGGGATCACTATAAAATGTTTTTACATGTAGTATGTTCAATTCTACCAATGATCACTTACATGTACCTCCTTTAGTTCTCAAATTAGGTATAAATTTTAGAAACAGGTAAAATACAAGCAAATTAAACACACTGGAAAATAAAAGGCCAATATTAAGTTTCCAAGTTTTTAAAAGAAAAAGTGCTATCTTTAACTAGACTTGTTTTAACATTTTAAGGTTCAAATCAACCTTAAGAGTTAAAGGAGAAATGGCTTTCTAGAAAGAAACCTGAGATTGGAATTCTTCCGTGACTTCATGGTGTGGGGGGTGGGGCAGTCCTATGCACGTGGTATATATGCACAGAAATGTGTGTGTGCCAGAGAGGCCAGGAGGACATAAAGTACCCTACCCTATCACACTCCACCTGTTCCTTAAAGTCAGAGTCTCTCACTGAACCTAAAACTAGAAGTAGGTTGGGACTCAACCTCAAGGTTCTTCCAGTCTCTACCCTACCAAGAGCAATAAATAGGGTGACAGACTTGCCATACGAATCTGTCCATGCTATGATTTGAACTTGGGTCCTCAAGCTTGTACAGAAAACACTCTCTAGACCTTTACATGTCTTTAAACAACTAACTAAAATACAAATGCCTTTACTTGAAGAATTCTATGATTCCTCATACAAACATCTGTATAAAAGCAGTAAAGAAGCAGTGGTTAGGGTCTAGCCTCACGTAGGTGAATGGCCTTTCCAAGTCTGTTTCCAATTCTGGAAAATGGAGATCTGGGGGGGCAGAGAGGGACAACACAGGTCTCAAACACAGACAGCCCAGGTTGACCTTAACTTTACTATGTAACTGAGGATGACGGTAAACTTCTGATTCTCCTGCTTCTGCTTCCTAAGAGCTTGCATTACAAGCATCTCCTACACGGCTCAGCTTTTTGAGAGTCTTTAAAAAACTGTTAAGGATTAAATGAGTTTAAACACTTGAAGTATTCATAATACAGACTGGCATATGAAAGACATAAGATCTCACGACCCCCAAAATGCCTAGATTTCTGTCAATAAATTATTTGCTGTTTTGTGAACAATTTCAACAAATGGTTGGCTACACTTTAAAAAAAAAAATCGCACCTGCTTAAGACATCACATAATACCTTTTACTGTCTCACCCCATTGGAGGTCATTCAGAACCCATCTCAAAAAAAGTCAATTCCTTTCTTAAACTTCCCATCATACAAAGTTAGAACAGTCATGCTTACTAACATAAATTCAGAACCAATAATTTTATAATTAAAGTAGGCACACACCAACTAGCCTGACAAAATTCTCAATCTCAAGCCGCCTAACACTAAACCACTCTCCTTCAAGGGAAAGTTTTCATATTACTAAACTCTACGGTGCTTTAAAATAAGAAACTATACTACATTTTTAAAATGTCACTGAGATTAAACAAGATACACTAAACGAGAGTACAAGTTATATATGTATTGCATACTATTTTCCCAATGGCCTTAAGAAACCTATAGCGATGGATTTCTCCCAGTTACATTTTAACTGCAAGAGCAGGTTCCGTCCACTCCAAATCAGCATCTGATTAAAGTCACTATCCCACCAGACCAACTCTAAAGAAAGGTAACTCAAATGGGATTTGGGATTTCCAAGGCTCGTGCCTACACCAGAAGTTTAAAGGAAGGGCAGCCAACCAATCTGTAAGTAGTCTCCCTCAAGATCAGAAAAAGAAAAACGCCATTCGAGGTAGTGGAATGCCACCAACTCTTTAACCTAGACCCAGAAAAATGTGAAGTAGCTTCGGAGTCAAAGAAGACTTAGCCAAAACAAAAAGCAAACCAAAACAGGGGTTCTGGTACCTACGACCACATGGCAACTTCAACTGAAGGTTAGTGTTGATCTAGCTCACCCTCAAATTAAAAGCTGGGTTCCAGCATCAATCGGGGATGTGGCCATGTAGCAGGCATCACCAGGCCACAACCGGCCAGATGAGACCACAGGTCAGCAGCCTGCGCTGGGCCACGGCTACAATGTCTCATTGGCAACCCTTGACCTGGTGAGTAGGAGGGCAGGTTGGCAGTCTAGGAAGATTCTTCTACTGGCAGCTTGGCTTTGAGAGTTCTGCCTGAGACGCTACCTCTGGACAAACGTGAGGGATTGTAAAAATATAAATGGGGGAGGGGGTCATTGTTCAGTGCACTCCCGAGATGCAGTCATTTTATTTGTATAGCAACAGAAAAATACATCGGTTCCCTGTTTTGCTCGTGAAGCCCTTTCTGCTGAGCGGGTAGTTCCCCAAGGCGAGCCGCACGCCCCCAGACCTGCCTGCCCTCCTTCTCTAGCTTCCCCCGAACTTCCAGCCCCCACAGCAAAGACACCCCTCTGCCAGCCCTCCAAGTTCCTGCCAGGATGCAGATGGACTCCCTAACTTCTCCCACCGCCCGGGCAGAGCTAAGCACTTTTAATGCGGGCTCGGGAACTCTGCGGCTGCACGGGCCGAGGCGCCCTGGAAGGGCCCGGCCCCCGACGCCCCGGCCACCTCTGACGGCGGGGGCGGCTCGCACGCCCGCACGCCCGCTGGACCCCGAGCCCCGCTCCATCTCAACTCCCTCGCCGCCGCCCCGAGCTCGCTCTCCGGGCCCTCACCCCAGCCTCGGCCCGCCAGGCCGGAGCTCTCGGCCGCCGCGCCGAGACGCTCCGCTCCGGAGGCCGCGCGTCCCCCTCACAGGCCCCGCCTGGGCCTCTGGGCTCCGCTGCCCTCCACCGCACGCTCGGCCCGACCGCGCTCCCGCCGAGCAGCGCCGACAGCTCGAGCGCGGGGCCCCGCACTTACTCGGGAAGGTAGGTGGAGGAGAAGGAGCTCCACTTGTGCAGCGCGTAGGGCAGAAGCCGGCACTCGGGCGCCGCAGCAACAGCCCCGCCAGCCGCCATCTTGTCAGCACCGTAGCGGCCGCCGCCGACCGCCGGCCCCGCCAGGAGGAGGGCGGGGACGTGGCCTGCTCTTAAAGGGGCCGCACCGCGAACCCAAACGCGCTGGGCGGGGACTGGCTGGTTGGCGGCTGCTTCCTCCGGTTTCCCACGCTGTCCTTTCCTAGCTGACCCTCCCGAGAAAGCTTTCCCGCGAGGCTGGAAGAGGAGTGGCAATGAGGACTTTTCTTACAAGCCGCAGGTAAAGACAAAGACAAGAACATTTTTTTGGGGGGGAAAAAATCTTAGTTATAGAACAGGAAGGGAAAATGAGATCTGCTTTGGAAAGAGAATACCTTTCCTACTTTGGAAACCACTGCCCTAGCCTGATTATAAATCCTTTAAGGAAACAGTGGTGAAGAGAATTGAAGTGCAATAATAATGTATCGTCTTTGTCTCTGGACTTGTCCTGAGGTTAAAAAAAAAAATGTCCTTGTCACCGTGTTCCAGGGTCAGATGGAGGCAAGAAAAGGAAAAGCTAGTGCGTTCTGCTTACAGTCTCTAATGTAATGTCTACATTGTAAACATTTCTTGTGAGCCCTCTCCTACTAATAACATTCTTGTGGCGTCGTTTTTTGTTTTTCCAGAAACGACATTAAACCACAAACCAGGAAAACGTTCTTAGAGTTGGAAAGCTGTGCATCATCAGTTGTCTCAGTTGGTAGGTCTGCTTGCTTTTGATTTTAACATAAATTTAGCCCAAACATTTAAGAGAGAAATGCTTGAGAAAAGCCCGTGTCCTCTTCAGAAGCAATAGTATGAACACTGCCGCCCCGGCTTCCCCCCAATACACACCCTGTTCAGAAAGCCAGAAGGGCATCATCCCAGCTTCTTATCACAAAAGGAACACCTGGTCTGAATATGTGGCAAAGATAGATAATGCTCCCATCTGGAGCGTGAATTCTAATCAGTATTAATAATAAAAACCTAGAGTTAATGCTGAAGATCGGAGAAGCAGAGCAGTCAGCCACTAGAGAGTTCTTACCTCTACCAATGTTCAGACCGAATGGGTGATCCTGTCTCTACTAACCCTCAGACTGCATCCGTCTCTGTGAATCCTCAGACTGCTCTGAGCTCCTGTCTCCCCCACGCCTTATAATCCTCTCTCTGCCCAGCCATATCCCTTCTTGTCTCCACCTCTCTAGTGCTGGGATTAAAGGCATGTGGACACCCGCCCCCCCCCCCCCAAGTACTGGGATTAAAGGTATGAACCACCACCGCCCCACTCTTTCTCTTTTAGACTGGATCAATTTTGTGCAGCCCAGGCTGGGCCTTGAACTCACAGAGATCCAGCTGCCTCTGTCTCCCACGTGCTGGGATTAAAGATGTGTCTGCCTCTTTGGCCAACTAGTAATTTAGGTCTGCACTCTGATCTTCAGGTAAGCTTTATTTGTCCCTTAAGAAATGCACCCTGACTCTGAAAACAGAGCCAAAGAAACCCACTTAGACCCTAGAATCAGAGCCAGTGAAAGAAATATGCCCTGACCTTGAAATTAGAGCCAGAAGTTTAAAAAAAAAAAAAAGCCAGAGTAAGAAATATACTTTGACCCTGAAACCAGAGCCAAATCTGCCTCTGAATAACTAAGATGAAAATCATCCAATCAATCCCTGCGCAGGGAAATGAACCAATCACTGAGCAGAAAACCAACAAATCCCTGAGCAGCCATCTTAATCAATCTGAGCTCAAGGGACTGAAATCTGACCATTTCCCATCCTGAGACTCTTCTCCCTGGAAGTCCTCTGCCCCTAAGAAGCCCTGTATAAGCCCTGCACCTGTTCAGTTTGCTGCTGCCCTTTTCCCACCCTGGCAGAGGCAGCCATCCTCCTGGATTCTTTCCTCCCAATTAAGCTCTTCAATTAGGTTTGGGTGAAGACTTTTCACACCTTCCCCTAGCCTAGCAGAGTTGTTACCGTTGGGGGGCACCAGAGCTGAACTTTCACTGGGGAAGCCCTCTCCTGTCCAAGCAGAGCTGTTACTTTGGGGAAACCTTTCCCTAAAACAGGACTGCAAACTGCTGTGTTTACTGTGGTATTCCTTGGTTCCCGATTGCCAGAATACTTTTCCATCTGAGCTGTAACACTCAGTATTCCTGGGCCCCTAATTTCCAGAATACTCTTCCATCTGAGCTGTAACACATAGTATTCCTTGGGATCCTGACTGCCAGGATCCCTTTCCCTCTGAGCTGCAATGCTTACAATTTCTGTAGTGGTCTTTACTAGGAAAGCATTAGAAATGTCAGCTAGGCCCCAAGTATAATCAGTCTTTAAGATTCCTGTGCTTTAAGGGTGAGACTTTGTTGGGAAAGGGTACAGTCCCGGAGGTATTAGTTAGAGAACTGCCTGGGATCGAGGGAATCAGCTACAAAGAGATTATCATGATGGGAAAGGTTGTCTCTAAAAGGGGGAGAGATAGGGATTCACTCCTGTTATTTTGAGGCCCCAGTTTGCTAATGCCTTTCCTTACCTCAATCTTAATAAGTCCTTTCTTATTTTTCCAGGCTTTGAATTGTATAGTTCCTGATCAAACTTTGTGAAAAAACAGGTCTAAACCAATTCTTTTTTATCAATATTGTAATTTAATTACATTTCTCCCTTCCCTTTCCTCCCATTGAACCATTTGCTGGCCTTCAAATCCATGGCCTCTCTTTTCATTACTTGTTATTACATGCATGTACGTACTTGTATATAAATATTTATTCCTAACTATAGCCTGTTGAATCTATATAATCTTACCTGTATATATTATGTCCTCAGGGCTGACCATTTCTCACTGGACAACCAATTGGTGTGCTCTTCCCTAGGGAGGGCCACCTCTCCAGCTTCCAGCTTGACTTGGCTGCTCCTTGTTCTTCATAAGCTTTGAAGCCCCCTGGGCTTCCTTTCCCCACCTCCCCCCACCCTCAGGCAGCTTTAAACCAATTCTTCTTAAGTGTTAAACTTTCCCGTAACTTGGGGGTGGGGAGGGGCATGAAGTGGAAGTTGTTGTTACAATTGTTGCTTTCACAGCAGAATCTGACTACCTCGACCTGACCGGGTTTGACTCTGCAGAGGACCTCTTGCCTCTGCTTCTCTTGAGGACTGAGATTGCCATGCCCAGCTCTTCTGTGACTTTGTAATCCCCTTCTGCTGTAAAGGGCTTAACAAAGGGCCCTTCATTATGCCTCCAGCACGTGCTCAGGCTCTCTCTTTTTCTGCTCTCCTTCACCCCCCTCCTCTGCACTCTATTACGGTCATACTAGTCAAGCATTCCAAATTGCTGCTTGCATGGCAGGCATCCTGTCCATCTCCAAGACGCAGTCTATTCCTGGCCTCCCCATCCCTTATATTTTATCTGGATGACTCTGCTTGCTCTTCAGATCATTTGATCTTGGAAAAATCTTTCCTCATCACCTATTTTAAGATTACTTGACATTTTCTACATTTCCCTTAACATCCTGAGTTCCCCCTCCTTAGCTTACCAATCATCACAATATGCTTCTGTTTCTTTTGTATTTCTCTGTCCTGTCGAAGATAACTCCCATTGCGGTAGGAGCCATAGATGCGGTAGCTATGAACTGTAGTCTCCATGTATTGTAGTCTCATGAATAGTAGATGCTCAGTAAGTGTTACTGGAGAATGAATCAATGGTGCTGAAAGAGAGTTTCAATCAGAGGCAAACGGCAAAGGAAACAGAGTGTCAAAACCCTGCAAATATGTGTCCCTTAGCTATGTCTGCCAAGCACAGTATAAAGAACTAGGGGATAACAGATTTCACAAATGATGGAAAATTTAAAGGAGCCCTATGCTAATAGAAATACAAACAGATGTATTGACACAAAACTTGTAGAAATGTGAAAATTGGAGATGCCAGAAATTGCAGACTCTGCAGAGGATCCCTAGAAGCTAGACTTCTAGGGGTTCATCTTTACCTCCTTCTCCTTCTGAGACATGAGTTTAGGTGTGGGGGTTGTTTGCAGAGATGCACGTGGAAGGCCTGGGTATTGACAGCAGCCAGACAGTTACTCTATATCATTGTATCTTACAGATGGGGCCTGTCACACCGTCATGGAGCACGAGGATCATCGGGTTTTGGAGGTCAGCAGTGCTATGGTAACACACAGTCTTCTTAGCCCCCAGAGGCCTCTGCAGAATGTTTCTCAAATCCTTCTTCCTGGGGGCAGCTGATTATGGTATTAGGATTTTGCCAACCACTCTCTCTTTCTCTCTCACTGCAAGAAAGACTTATTGGGGGAAGCTATGATACCCTACATGGTGATCAGAGGAGCCAGACAAGGCCCGACGTCATGAAACTAGCATTCTCTGTGTTTGGCCAACACGTATAAGTCATCTGGATAATTTTTAGTATCTGCTAAATACTTAAAGGCGAATAATCCAGAGAAATTATTAGATTGGCCAGAGTCCCCAAAAAGATAATATTTGAGCTGATATCTATATTAATGAGGAAGAGCCAACCACTATAAAAGGCTGGCTTGAACCAGGCAGTAGTGATACATGCCTTTAATACTAGCACTCAGGAGGCAGAGGCAGGTCAATCTCTGTGAATTTCAGGCCAACCTATGAATTGAGTTACAGGGCAGCCAGAGCTGTTACATAGAAAAACCCTGACATGAAAAACAAACAAAGTCCAGGCAAAGCATGGATTGGTGACTGCTGCAATGCTTTGTTCCAGGAGACCCAGCTGCTCAGTGAAACATGCAGACCCTCTGTGGGTCAAAAGCCCATCCTGGTGATCATACCACAATTCTTCCCAAATGAGTTGATAATCGGGAATAATTTCAATAAACTATGAAGTACTTTCAAATATCAAATGTTGCCAAGTAGTAGTAATAAAGGCCACAAGAGAGGCAAAGCAAAACAAACACGGCTGAACCTGTTTTCCCGCAAAGGAACATCCCACCTGGCTGAGATCAAAACACATTTGCTTATAGTCCAGGACAGGATTTCACAGTTATGCTTGGTAAGTTATACCTTCCATGACAAAATACTTGAGACAGGGTAATTTAAAAAGGAGAGAAATTTTTTGCTCATAGTTCCAGAGGCTGGCAGTCCAAGATCAAAAGGCCAACAGGTTCAGTGTCTACTGAGGGCTGTCTTCTGCTCCTAAGATGGCTTCTGTCCT